GCCAACATACGAACGGCATTCAGAAACTTGTGTAAAGAATCATTCAGAACTTTGTATACCACATATGTCAGGCCAATCCTGGAGTATGCAGCCCCAGCATGGAGTCCATATCTAGTCAAGGATAAGACTAAAATGGAAAAGGTTCAAAGGTTTGCCACCAGACTAGTACCTGAGCTGAGAGGTATGAGCTACGAGGAGAGACTACGGAAATTAAACTTCACTTCGCTGGAAGACAGAAGAGTTAGGGGGGACATGATCACCACATTCAAGATTCTGAAGGGAATTGATAGAGTAGATAAAGACAGTCTATTTAACACAAGGGGAACACGCACAAGGGGACACAGGTGGAAACCGAGTGCTCAAATGAACCACAGAGATATTAGAAAGAACTTTTTTAGTGTCAGAGTGGTTGACAAATGGAATGCATTAGGAAGTGATGTGGTGGAGGCTGACTCCATACACAGTTTCAAGTGTAGATATGATAGAGCCCAATAGGCTCAGGAATCTGTACACCTGTTGATTGACGGTTGAGAGGCGGGACCAAAGAGCCAGAGCTCAACCCCCGCAAACACAACTAGGTGAGCACACCCTTCCCCAGTCTCACCCCTCCCTGCCCACACACACCCTTCCCCAGTCTCACCCCTCCCTGCCCACACACACCCTTCCCCAGTCTCACCCCTCCCTGCCCACACACACACCCTTCCCCAGTCTCACCCCTCCCTGCCCACACACCCTTCCCCAGTCTCACCCCTCCCTGCCCACACACACCCTTCCCCAGTCTCATCCCTCCCTGCCCACACACCCTTCCCAGGTCTCATCCCTCCCTGCCCACACACCCTTCCCCAGTCTCACCCTCCATGCCCACACACACCCTTCCCCAGTCTCACCCCTGCCCACACACACACCCTTCCCCAGTCTCATCCCTCCCTGCCCACACACCCTTCCCCAGTCTCATCCCTCCCTGCCCACATACACCCTTCCCCAGTCTCATCCCTCCCTGCCCACACACCCTTCCCCAGTCTCACCCCTCCCTGCCCACACACACCCTTCCCCAGTCTCACTCCCTCTTTATGTGTTTGTTTAGGTCCAAGGTTGGGGATTTTATTGTTGGTTTGGGTTAGCTGGGTTTGCATGCTTATAAATATACTCTACCCTACCCCTACTCAAATCTCTGAATATGTTAGATATTAAGTCACTGCACATTCTCTCATGTGTATTATACATATATAAAACGCTGAACTGTAATGCCAATCCTGACCTCAAAAGCTTCATTGAAAGTTGTAACAGAACCCATGAGCACCACACCAGAAATAAATACAGTTTTGATATTCCAAGAGTACGACTTAATCAAACTAGAAATGCTCTACAAATCAAGGGACCCAGAATGTGGAATGAACTTCCCAACCATGTTAAAGACTGTACCTCTCTCAACCAGTTTAAGATAAAAACGAAGCACTACCTAATAAATTCCCTCTAACCTACCTTACCCCTCTATTGTGAACCCATGTCTGTTTTTTAAAACAACGCTGTTTGTCGACCAAATTGTATTTGTGCTGCTTTTTCAGCCATGTTCCCCACTTTTTTATTTTTATTTTTATTTGTTCTCAACACATTTTATACTTTAAACTCAAATAGTATTAGTTTTAGTCTTTAATGTTTTTCCTGCCCGAAACACTTTGCGTAATAGAGGCTTTAGGCATTGTATGTACTAGCTCTATCTATAAATCTATCAATTTTTGTAAAATCTCTTGTAAGTACCTTACCTGAATAAACATTTATTTATTTATTTATTTATTTATTATTTGTACTATGCTCTTGCCACAGATTTTGGCTGCATTCATGTGCAATCATTTTGGTGAGTGCTTCCAGTACCTGGGTTTCCTGCTTGGTACAGCCTTCAGGCCTTAGTATATTCTTTTTGGATTTTCTGCATGGTTCCCTATGGATCCACCCTTGTTGAATCAGTGTTCACTCTGTGTGAGTTCGAGTGGTGTTTGTCAGCCATATCATGTGGCTACGATCATTCCTTACGTCTCTGCCATGCTGCCCGTTGGATTGGCAGCACCTACGATTCCTTTAACATTTATTCCCATGGGTTTCTCCACTCTCAGGTTTCCAATTCAGAAGCAAGATTTATTATGCAGCTGCCGATTTATAAGTTCATTACGGCCAACTTCAGCATTCATATCTTTGTGCCAGTTTAGCTACCCGGAGAACTGGTGATGTTGGTGCATTTCACTTTGACTGTAGCCATGTCGCCTTACCCCTCTCCTGCGGTGTAGTGTGCCATTTCTCTCCCTCCCACCTTCCTGCTTCCAGCTTCAGAACATCTGAGGTTTATGGAGTGACGGCAAGGTTTAGCTTGGGGAATTTGATTCGGCCTTTCCCGGGGGGTGGCTCCATCCTTTTGGGTGCAGAAGAAGTTAAGCTGCCTTGTCCTACTTGGGGTTTGAGTTTTCACCTTCCCAACCCTCAGTGGGAGGACGCCTTTCTATCTTGGGTGATGAGCGAGGGCTACAGCTGTGCCCCGGGGTCTTCTTGGCAGGATGCCAAGACCCCATTGCTTGAATCTCCAAAGCAGGTGGACGTCTCTTCCCTTCTCCGTGTGCACTAGTCTCCTCGTCTCCCTGACCCACCCTCTCCAACGCTCCCTTCCTGTCTCTATGTCGGTCTCTCCATTTCTCCCTCTGTGTCTATCTCTATTTCTGTCTGCCTTTCTGTTCCTCCCTCTATCTATATATATTTGTCTGTCTCTGTCTCTCTTTCTCTTAGTCTCTCCATCTGTCTGCCTGTATGTCTCTATCTTTTGTGTTTCTATCCCTATTTCTATGTCTCCCTCCCTCAGCCTATCCCTCTATCTCTCCCACTCTGTATATCTCTGTCTCTCTCTCTCTCCCCCTCTCTCTGTATCTGTCTCTCTCTCCCCCTCTCTCTGTATCTGTCTCTCTCTCTTCCCCTCTCTCTGTATCTGTCTCTTCCTCTCTCTCTCCCTCCATGTCTCTCTCTCTGGTTGTCTCTCTCTCTCTGTCTTTAAAAACCAAAGCACTTTGAAGACCGAGAACGCCCACCACAAACAACAGATTGTTAATGGGTCGACAAGCAGTTGCTGCAGACAACAAGAATTGGATGACAACATCCTCTGGGAACACGAGCTGAGAAAAGGTAGAGGCAGAGAGGAGAGCAAGGACTCACGTCGGATCCAAAGACACAGCCAGTTGAGTTGGTGGCAAAGAACATGACAACTGTCTCCCAGAAAATAGGGGTGTGGAGCTTGGGTAGTGCAGCTGACACAGTCATAATAGAGGCCAAGACCCCGCAAGAGGGAGCCTGCCAAGTGCCCCAGCATTCTCCATGAGCCAGTCGGCATGCAGCTCAAGGAGGCCCTAAAAGTGCTTATCAGAAACCAGGAGCAGACGACCACAAAGGACGTCCACCACCAGCGTTGCTGACAACAGGGAAACCTGGACATGGAACTGCAGGTCTCAAGAAAAGGCAGGAGCAAACAGGTAGTCGTTGAGAGGATCAAAACACGGGCCAATCAGAACACCTGAAACATGGTCGACACCTTATACCACTCTGGAGTCTCAAAATGCATCAAAAAGAAAAAGAAAACTGTGAATGTGAAAGAGGCTTGGTCCTTCAACGAGGCATAATCTGGATCACTCAGGAGGTATGCCAAAAGGGCCTGATTCACCGCAGGGAGAACCCGAGAGGAGGGGAAACTCTGGAAGGATGAACCCGAAGGGCCCAAAAGCACCCAGAATCGAACCCTGGAGGAAATAGTACCCAAATCAAACTCATACAGGGAGGGGGAATACAAAATTCCTCGACCCTCCCAGGAAGGCACAAGGAACCACGTAAAGACAAATAGGACCCAAACCTCCATATCCAACCCTCCCAAGCCCCAAGAGCTCTAGGACAGAGCCACTATCAGTGCCTCGGGACAGAAAAGTGGAGTCAATGGAGAGGCTTCAAAAGAAGAAGGCACTGTCTGAGAGGAATACCCAGAAGTCTCGGCACGACTGGAAGACTCGACTGCCTCCATGTCCAAACTAGAAGGGGCAAAACCCAGAGCTGACCAAGCCACATCCCGAACTAAACCCAGACACTGGCAACACTATGCCAGATCTATATAACTGAATAGGTTCTCTTTGGATTCTACAGAGATACTATTAAACCAACACACCAGGCTTTTGCAGCTGTGAAGACTGACCTCGCCACTAAGTGTAGCTTGTAAACTTCCTGGGTGCCTTCCATGGTAGTGGCAGACATGAACAAATTTATAACATTTTTATCATGTGCCAGTACTCCCTGCACGTCTGCAAATGACGGGACCTGGTAGTACAGCTTCAGGAAGCCACAAGGGGTTCTTGCCTCCTTCCAAGATAAGGCGCCACTTAGCTAACTAGCACAACACTGGAGCCAGAGCAGAAGAGAGGCAACCTGGGACACTGCATCACCATTTAATTAAGGGTAAAATAGTCAGCGGACATCAGGCGGTCACCTTCCTCCCCACAAACGAGTGGCAGAAAGTGGGGAGAATGAGCTTGCACTAGTTTTGTGAATTTTCAGTTGTTTGTTTATTTACATGGTTCAGGTGGTGTTCTTTTGGGTGTTTTAGAGTTGCAGTCTCTACTGAAGGTGGTAGTGGTCTGTTTTATCTTGCTTACTTTAAGGTCCTCTCTATGAGTAGGCCAGGTTCTGTCTCTGGTGGGCCAATAACACTCCACAGCTGATGTGATCTAGTAGTGGTACACCATCAACAATGATAGCTTTAGGGAATCACAAGGGGGGGGATCCCCCTCCCCCAGAAATGTATTTATCACATGGCAACCTTCCTGCATGAATATCATACATTACTGAAAGCTAAAAAATTTCAAATGTACAGTACTTCATGTACTTTAACATTTTAACAAATTTCATGTAAATTCGAGATGGTCAGATTGAGAGCTGTGATGATCTGGCATGGAATGATCCATTGGGTAAAAAAACCGCGCAGTTTTTTTTTATTTAATCTTTATTCAAATTATGCCATTATACTTCCTAGTTATGTAATAGCTGATAATTTAAGAAACAAGGAAAACCTCACCAATAAACTGCACCAGTACATCAATATTAATTGCAGTAATGATTTCAATGTAACCAAATGATTATTAAATGACTATGATTTATTACCAAGCACCTTTAACTTCCTCACTGCTACCCCAAGTTTGGCCTTTTGCATTATCTCTCTTCCTTTCTTTGTTTCTTGTACGTTGTTGTTTACCATTTCTTGCTTTATTTTCTATGGGCCAAGAATCACTGTTATCCTGACTGCCAGAGTCATTCTGAGGGTCATAAGACGACCCAGTTTCAAAACCCTCACAAGGCGGCACCATGGTAGGCACAGTATCTGTTGGGAAATATTAAAATTCGTCAATTATGTAATGTTTAAAAGGAATTTAATAGCTGAATTATATCTGGATGTTTCCATACATATAGTAGGCCCCTTTTTGTTATTACCTGATGGAGGAGGATGCCATTTCTTCTCCCTTTCCTCTTCCACTTCATTGATGATTACTTCAGAATTTACTTGAGCTTCTAGACTAGCTTCAATAATTTTCAGTGGAATGTCATATTGCTGATCAAGACCCAGGTAGCTGTCTGACATCACATACAAGGTCAATACTCCATTTCCTGAAATATATACAAACATTGATATCAAATACTGGAGGAAAGGTTAATTCCTTCTCTTCATATTTACATGAATAACTGTTGAATCTCTAAATTTAAACTACTCCATGAGAAAGCAATATTCTTTTGACAATCAAACTTGTAATACAGTGGAACCTCGGTTCTCGTTAGTGCCTGTTCTCATAATTTTCAATACTGTACTCGTAGTCAATTTCTCCTAAAAATTTAATCGGTAATCGTCGTTTGCCTCGGTGTTCAAAATTTGTTTATACGTGTAATGGTCGACCAAGAGCGTGGCATTTCGGTGAGGCACGGCTCAGTGCCTCAGTTTACAAGTGTCCTGTCAAGGTGACAACCACGCTTGAATTCTCTGTTAAGAATTTAATTGTTTTGGGATCTTTTTTTAGTTTCGGAACATAAAAGTAATTACTGTATTATGTATCATACCATGGGTCCCAAGAGGGTCAGTGGTAAAGTTCAACCTAAGAGAACAACTGTGAGGATGACCATAGAGCAGAAACAAGAGATCATTCATAAACATGAAAATGGTATGCGGACTGTTGAACTTGCTAGATTGAACAACAAAAGTGTGTCAACGATATGCTCTGTAACTGCTAAGAAAAAGGGAATGATGAGTGCTAAAGTGGCAAAAGGCGTAACAACAATCACGAAAGAAAGAACACAAACACTTGATGATGTAGAAAAGTTATTATTAATTTGGATAAACGAGAAGCAGTTAGCAGGTGATAGCATTTCAGAGGCCATCATTTGTGAAAAAGCAAGGCTGTTGCATGAACATCTGATAAACATAACCCCTGGAACGAGTGATGCAGATACGAAAGAGTTTAAGGCGAGCAGGGGATGGTTTGAGAAATTTAGAAAGAGACGTGGCATTCATAGTGTTGTGAGGCATGGGAATGTGCCAGCAATGACAAACCAGCGGCTGAAAGATTTGTTGACTAATTTAAAGATTTTGTAGATAGTGAGGGATACCTACCACAACAAGTGTTTAATTGTGACGAAACAGGACTATTCTGGAAAAGATTGCTGAAGAGGATATACATTACTCAGGATGAGAAGTCATTGCCCGGACAAAAGCCTATGAAAGATAGGCTAACTCTTGTGCTGTGTGGTAATGCAAGTGGCAATTTGAAAATTATACCCTTGCTTGTGTATCTTTCTGAAAATCTAAGGGTTTTCAAAAAATATAACGTGCAGAAAAACAAAATGTGTGTGATATGGAGGGGCTAAGAGTAAGGCATGGGTGACTAGGCAATTTTTTACCGAGTGGGTGAATTAATTGGTTGGCCCTGCCATCAAAAAACCAGCGTTGAATGTAATGAAACGCCATTTTCTGGGTGAGCCCCGGAGGCTCCCTGGAGCTTATCGGGCTAATGTGTGTTATGTTAGACCGGGACATTAGCTAAGGAGTTCAGACCTACCAGGGACCAGCGCCAGAACCTGGCCCCTTCAGAGAGGTTTCAGGGAGCAATGGCCCTGGAAAACCCCATATGGTTGGGGGTTTTCCTTATCTGCCATCGACCGGGGTTAGGCACCCAGAAAGGTAGGCGTAACAAAACAAACCCCACATGGTAAGAAACAACAACAAAAACCGAACAGAGAGGTAGAAAACTCCCTACAATCCCAAGGAAACAAGCAAACAAGCAAACATCACACTTTACTGCCGCGCCGATCGTCCGCGCAGCCCTCCCCACCCCGGGAGGGGGAGGGGGGAGCCCCGGACCTACCGCGCCGGCTGCCAAGCTCCAGTTCGGAAGCTAAGCTTCAACCAACGCGAAAAAACCGCCGACCGGTGGGAGGGAGGGTTTCCAGGGAGCCTCCGGGGCTCACCCAGAAAATGGCGTTTCATTACATTCAACGCTGGTTTTCTGTGGGGAGCCCCTACGGCTCCCTGGAGCTTCATACCCAAAGAGAAGGAAAAGAAAGGGCTAACCCGGGAGGCGGCCGCCACAAACTCTGCAACGCAAAGCCAAGACAACCGGTCGCAAACCTGCGACCCAAGGCAACAAGAACGCCCAAGAACAGACGCACATATGGATGGGCGGCCAAAAACCTGTGCGACCCACAATTCCTTGCGCCCGAAATGAGCCCGAGACGTCACCAACACAGCAGCAATTGCTGCAAACGTCTGAACAGCACGGGCGCAAAGACAGACCGCAGTAAGAAGGAAAACACTGCGGACGACCCGGGAGACCTGAGCCCTGAAAACAGGGAACGAAGGAACCGGATCAACCACAGCGCATCCCCAGGCACTGTACGCCGGCAACAGCAAAAAGCACAACTGGACAACACAGGACGCACCCCCCGGCCAAACCAAACAAGTACCAATACCCCAAGAACCCCTCCGGAAAGCAGCCGTCTCGACCGTCGCCAGGACAGAGAAAGGCTGCACACCAATAAAGCTACCACCAGTACCAAAGAGGAGGAAACTGAAACCGAAGGGGCTACCACAAACTGAGGGGAAGAGAAGAAGGCACCCTGAACAAGGACCAGGATGGCTCAGGCGACTCATGAGCAGGCCGGAGGGGAAACAAAACGCGAGAAGACGTAATAAACGTCATACAGTCTCCAAGACGAAGCTCGCAGGTGGGACACCGTCAACAAAGCCACCTGAACACCATAGAGATGGCGATACCTGCGTCAAAATACCAGACGCGAAGAGCCAAAGAGAAGGCCGAACCAGTCACGGACAGGACCAATGCGGCCTGCTGAAAGAGGCGAAGCCTCAGGAAAAACGCCCCGGGTACGGACACCTATCAAGCAGCGTCTGAAAAGAAGGCCGGGCCGGCCACAGTGGAACCATAAGGGCTGTTCTCGTGGGAATGGGCTGCAACTGAGCCAGAACCCGAAGCAACAGCTGGACCGGGAGAAGAGGTACAGGTACCCCCCACCTCGACCAGGCCTGCCGAAAGCCTCCACCGTGAAGTCCTCGCAGGTGGGAAGGGCGCCACAAAACGGGCGACGCCTAGACCACGCCGACCCGAAGACGTCCATGGCCAGGAGTCCATAAGCCCAACAGAGCCAACAAAACGAATCGGCGACGACTGGCCAACCCACGAAGAGGAATGAACCGAGACAGCTGTCCACCAGGACGCAGGACACACCCCGGACACGAACCACACGGTTAACCAAACCCCCTGTGGTTCCGGCAAGAACCACCAGAGAACAGTCCAAACAGAGCTGAATGGTAGAGTACCTAGTGACCCAAACCCTCCGAAGCGCAAACCAGACAGCCATGAACACCTGAACCGGGCTGTGAGCCCGACGGACAGACAGACTCCATCAACCTCGGCCGACCTGGTGAGCACTGGTCACAAAGCCCCAGCCGAGAGACGACCCGTCCGTGAACACATCGAGCGAAGGCTCGGGGAGCCGCCAAGGCACGGAACCCCGAAAACCCCCAAAGAGGAAGCTGGTGACGCAGCACCAACACCAGATCCCCAGAGGAACCCATGGAATGCAAGAGGCGGAAGTGGAGTCTCCGTAGGAACCAACCGACGCCGGAGCCAAACCCGACTCCGCGGGCAGACAAGCACGCCGAAGTGCAAACTCCCGCACAACCGCCCAAGCAACCGCTGAGCAACCCGGGACCCCCTATTGAACAGCCAAAGGCGGGACCACAGCCACAGTAACACTTCTGGAGGGAAGACAATGAGGGGCCCAAGAGCCTGAAACAAGGCCCAGGTCCGAACCCGGGACGGAAACAGAAGGTAAAACCTCCAGAACACCAGGAAACCAAACCCAGCGATCTGGAAAGAACCATCCCCTGGCGAGCAGACAAGCGGACTGACTGGGAGCCCACTCCAGCCAGTCGTCGAGGTAGGCCAGACACCGAATCTCAGACGCAGACAGGGCACTAAGATCCGGTAAAGATGCAAAGAGTATACAAAGTGCCCTTCACAAAATAGGGAATGCAATAAAAACAGCAAACCTGAAGCCCCACCACCAAAGCATTGTATGACAATCATATGAAGACATATTATGACATATGACAATCATTATATGACAATATGACAATTATAATCAAAGCATTATATGACAAAGAGTGCTGGGAAGACGGGACACCACGAGAGTAGCTCTCATCCTGTAACTACACTTAGGTAAGTACACATAGGTAATTACCAACCGTGCTAGCCCCAGAAAAACTGGAGAGGAACGTGCCAAGAAGTGACCTGGAGGTCCAGGTCCACCATCCATGCACCCGGCCCTAACAGAATCCGAACAGGAGACAACAGTCCTCCGAGCAGGGCAGAGGATCCAGGGCGCAGACGGAAGTAGTCCAGAAGAACTGCAGACTGGAAAAGCTCATGACTGCAAAGAGCAGACGGGAAAAGCTCATGACTGCAAAGAGCAGACGGGAAGCCCAGAAGGATGGGGCGGATCGACCACGCCCCACGCACCCACGAAGAGGAAATGACGAAGCGCAGGGAAGAAGCCCACCCCGCCAGCTCTGAACCCCCCCCAAGGGGGAGAAGCCGTCCTCCAACGCCAGCAGAGGCCGGAAGACAACCCAAAGCGCCCACCAACAGCGGGACCAAGCGAGAGGCAACAGAGCAAGCTGCTCCCCCAGCGCCCAGTCAACAGAGAAGGGAACAGAACCCCTTCAGAAAGAAAAAGTACACTACCGAAGTCATGAGGAGAGACTACGGGAATGAAACCACACTTCGCTGGAAGAGGAAGTGAGGGGAGACCTGATCACCACATACAAGATACCCAAGGGAATCGACAGGGTTGAGAAGGACAGGCTATGTAACACAAGGGGCACACGCACTAGGGGACACAGGTGGAAACTGAGTACCCAAAAGAGCCACAGATAGTTTTTTTTTTTTTTTTTTTTTTTTTTTTTTTAGTGTCAGAATGGGAACGGGAAAGCACTAAGAAGTAATGTGGCGACTCCTCACACAAGTAACGAGGCTGACCCCCAAACAATGTCACATGTAGACATGACAGAGCCCAAGAGGCACAGGAACCGATACACCTGTTGACGGACGGTTGAGAGGCAG